TCTCTCTCTCTCTCTCTCTCTCTCTCTCTCTCTCTCTCTCTCTCTCCCCCTTCCTTCCTTCCTTCCTTCCTTCCTTCCTTCCTTCCTTCCTTCCTTCCTTCTTTCCTTCCTTCCTTTCTTTCTTTTTAAAGATTTATTTATTTTATGTATGAGTACACTGTTGCTCTCTTCAGACACAGAAGAGGGCATCGGATCCCATTACGTGGTGGTTGTGAGCCACCACGTGGTTGCTGGGAATTGAACTCAGGACCTCTGGAAGAGCAGTCAGTGCTCTTAACCGATGAGTCATCTCTCTAGCCCAAGCCTGGGGTTTCTTAAAGCCCCTGGGGTTTCCGAGGACAAAGCTGAAGACTCTGTATTAGACTAGGAAGTTCTGAAAGTAGTGTTAGGCTCTCCTACTATTCTGCTTTTTAAAAATTTTTATGTATATTACTACTCTATCTGCATGTACCCATGCAGGCCAGAAGAGAGCATCAGATTACTTTATAGATGGTTGTGAGCCACCGTGTGGTTGCTGGGAATTGAACTCAGGACCTCTGGAAAAGCAGCCAGTGTTCATAACTGCTGAGCAATCTCCCCACCCCCACCTCTTCCCTTTCTGCCTTTTCTAGTGAGACTACAGTGTCCTGAGGGTAGACCTGTTTTTTATTTTATCATTGGGGGAACTACATAAGAGCCCAACCCAGCACCTTGGTCATCCCCACATGTCCTTTCACAGAACTTGCCAGCCCTGGTGCTGAAGATCATGAGTGGCACTTTTGCACCCATCTCTGACCGGTACAGCCCTGAGCTACGCCAGCTCGTCCTGAGTCTGCTCAGCCTGGAACCTGCACAGCGGCCACCCCTCAGCCACATCATGGCACAACCTCTCTGCATCCGGGCCCTCCTCAACATCCACACCGATGTGGGCAGCGTCCGCATGCGGAGGCCTGTACAGGGAGATGGGGGCGGACACCCAGTGGGAACATAGGCTTAGGGCTGACCGTTCACTACGTGTAGTCCTGTAGGACTGTCAGAGACAGGCTTTGTCCTTAGGCCCCTCTGTATTCCACAGGGCAGAGAAGTCCTTGACCTCAGGACCACCTATGTCCTCTGGCAGCACAGGGAGCAGGGCCACAAGCGCCCGGTGCAGGGGTGAGTTCAGGTTCAGCGGCTGGAGCTCCGTGGATTCCCTACCATTTCCACTAGTTTAACTGGCCTCAAACTCTGTCCTCGCAGGTGTCCCCCGGGGACCTGTGAGACCGGCCATCCCGCCACCACTGTCTTCGGTCTATGCTTGGGGTGGTGGCCTTAGCATTCCCCTGAGGTTGCCAATGCTCAACACTGAGGTGATCCAGGTGGCTGCAGGGCGCACACAGAAGGCTGGTGTTACACGCTCTGGACGCCTCATCCTGTGGGAGGTGAGCAGGTTGGCAGTGGCCTTGGACTGGAGAAGGGGGGAACCCAGACATGGAGTTGGGGTCCTCTGGAGTTACCCACTCCTCTGCAGGCCCCACCCCTGGGAGCTGGAGGTGGCACACTCCTTCCTGGGGCACTGGAGCTGCCTCAGCCCCAGTTCGTCTCTCGTTTCCTGGAGGGCCAGTCAGGTGTGACCATCAAGCATGTGGCCTGTGGGGACCTGTTTACCGCTTGCTTGACAGGTAAGCTTGTCTGGGAAGTGCTCTGTATGGACAGGAGGAAGCCAGACAGCACACACTTCTCTCATCCCAGAGTGGTCAATTAATATTTCTCTCTCTTAAAAGTTTACTCTATAGTAGTGCCTGCAGTTTGCTGACTTCAGCGCCCTTTCCCAGGCATACGAGGCTTTGCAGTAAATGTGTTATAGTATATGTGTGATAGAGGGGGAAAATAAAGCTAGTTCAAAATTATACACTATAAGGGACCACCTATGTCTCCCCTGCTACCCTGCCCTTGCTCCTTTTCAATATTTCAATATGGGCATTCCCTGCCCCCATCTCCCCACACCAATACTGGAGGTTGAACATGGGACCTTGTACATGATAGGCAAGCTTTCTACTACTGAGACTACTGAGTTACAATCTCAAGTTACTACAATCTCAAGCTCTTTTTTTTTTTTTTAAAGACAAAGTCTTGCCAGGTAGTAGTTTTGGCTAGCCTGGAACTTAAGAGATCTGCCTGCTTCTGCCTCCTGAGTGCTGGGTTTAAAGACATGCACCACCACAGCAGGCTTTGGTTTAATTTGTTTGGAGGCAGTGTTTCACTAAGTTGGGCTAGTCAGACTTGTAATTCTCCCTCAAACTGAGTAGCTTCAGTAACATCCTGGTGCCACCAGACCAGCCATCCGCTCTCAGTTTTATCCCTCCCCCCCCAACCTGTAAACGAACCACACTCCCCGAAATACCCCCTTCTCTCCTGTCTCTCACTGCCCTCCTCCCCAGACCGAGGCATCATCATGACCTTTGGCAGCGGCAGCAATGGGTGTTTAGGTCACAGCAACCTGACTGACATCAGCCAGGTGGGTGTTCCGCATACCCTGGAGAGGGGAAGTGAGCACTAGCTCCCAGGCTGCACCTGCTCTGGCTCAGATCGGGGAAGTCCAGGAAGCTTCCCCAGTGGCTTCCCACCTGTTGCTCTATCTGCGCACTGTACGTGCAGTGCGTGTGCTTGGAGTTAAAGAGACAGTTACCTTCTGAGAATTTGAAGCCTCCAACTTCCAGCTTGCAAGGGTGGGGAAGGCCTGGAGGGGGGCGTGTCAGACCATGGTAGGGGGCAAGTCCTTCATTTTTTTTTTCTCTCTCTAGCCCACCATTGTAGAAGCCCTGCTGGGCTACGAGATGGTGCAGGTGGCCTGCGGGGCCTCTCATGTGCTGGCTCTGTCCACAGATGGAGAGTTATTCGCCTGGGGCCGAGGAGACGGTGGTAAGCCCACTGCCCATCTCCAGCTCTTAGGGTCCCTCTCACAGCTTCCTCCATTATGCTTTGGTCCTTCCCGTACCAGGCTTCCTCCCCGGGGCCCATTCTTTCCTTCCTCATTTTTTTTTTCTTAAATTCTATTCATTCATCGGACAAACCATTACTAAGATTACGAATCTTACTAGTGCTCAGGTAAGATGAATGAGATGTTGCCACGTGGGATGTGCATATCTTTTCTTGCAATGCTAGGGATCAGACTTTACACACAGTAAGTGCATGCTCTATCAGTGACCTGTCCCCCAGCCTACCCGACTGACTAGGTACTGAAACTGGTGATGTCATAGATGGGTTTCTGTCCTAGTGGACTCAAGTGTAAAGTATGTCTGTGTTACGGGGGAACCCAGAGGACACCAGGGCTATAGCAAGGATTAACACTGTGCAATTAAAGGAGGGCAGTTGTCAGCCTGGGGAGGCGGGTGGCATCTGGATAGGGTCTTTCATTTTTATGAGAGGGGGTGTCTCACCTGCAACTTGGTGTTTTGAGACACACCCTTGCTGTATAGCTTCAGCTAGCTTGGAAGTCACTCTGTAGCCCAGGCTTGCCTCATATTCGTGGCCTTCTGTGTCCGAATCCTGAGTGCTGTGGTTGATTAGAGGTGTGCTTCATCACACCAGGCTGCTGTTGGGTTTTAAATGGTTTTGACCAGCAGTGAGGTAAAGCCTAGGAAAAGCACTCAAGGGAGGGTGAGAACAGCCTTCATCAATCCTGTTTTCATTCCGACATTACCATCTCTGAAGCTCAAACTAATCTTATTTTGTTTCTGTTCTTGTAGGTAGGCTGGGACTAGGTACCAGGGAGTCCCATAACTGCCCTCAGCAGGTGCCTGTGGCCCCAGGACAGGAAGCTCAGAGGGTTGTCTGTGGAATTGACTCTTCCATGATCCTCACCTCGCCAGGCAGGGTCCTGGCCTGTGGAAGTAACAGGTGAGTGAATAGAAGCATCAAAGTGCTAGGCCTGCCTCCCCACCCTCCTTGGATGCAAAGTATTTCAGTCCTTATTGCCTTCCTCCCCCCAAGGGTCAGAGCCTTAAGGTATGTCTCTTGGCGCCACAGATCCCAGCAATCCCCGCAGAGACTCCCTGTAGTGGGAGAAAGGCCGGCAGCTGATACAAACTTCTGGCTTCTGGCTCCATCCTTAGGTTCAACAAGCTAGGCTTGGACCACCTATCCCTGGATGAGGAGGCTGTTCCCCATCAGCAAGTGGAGGAGGCCCTGAGCTTCACCCCACTCGGCTCTGCACCTCTGGACCAGGAGCCCCTGCTGTGTGTGGACCTTGGCACTGCTCATTCAGCTGCTGTGACTGGTGAGTAGGACCCAGACATGAGAGGCCTACGTGGGCTTCCCCTGGCTTCCTCCAGACTTCTGTTCAACTGCCCTTAACCTCCGTGTCCTCCCGTCTACACAGCCTCCGGGGACTGCTATACTTTTGGCAGCAATCAACATGGGCAATTGGGTACCAGTTCCCGCCGGGTCAGCAGGGCACCCTGTCGGGTCCAAGGCCTGGAAGGCATCAAGATGGTGATGGTGGCCTGCGGGGATGCCTTCACTGTAGCCATTGGAGCAGGTGAGGGTGGGCAGGATGAAGGGGCTGGACCACGGCAGGAATATGGTGGGTTATACTTAGCACCTTCCTTTTAGAGTTCTTGCTGTCCAGTGTTCATCTGCTTGCTTAGGTTATGCCCTGTTCTTTCGAATTCTTGGCAGAGGGGGAAGTGTATTCTTGGGGCAAAGGAGCCCGAGGTCGACTGGGAAGGCGGGATGAGGATGCTGGACTCCCTAGGCCAGTGCAGCTGGACGAGACTCACCCTTACACGGTGACTTCAGTGTCCTGCTGCCATGGGAACACGCTTCTGGCTGTTCGATGTGAGTTTTCTTTTCCTGTCTGAACCCACCTCCCCCCTATTCCATCTCCCATAGTTACAACTCAAGTTACCCGTCCAATCTTCTGCCCCCAGAAAATGAAAGCAGAACCTGTGGGAAATGGGGAGGGGACATGTGTAAAGCGCTGTGCCTCCTTGCCTGAGCCAGTGAGGGCTGCCTCTATGGCTCTCCACACCTCATGTGAATTCTTGCTTCTAATACTTCCTGGATCCAGTTGATGTTAAAACTCCCCTTTCTGGACTGGCAGGAGGGTTCTGGCTCCAGGGCCCAGTGAAATCAAGGTGGCTGATGCTTGCTGTAGGCACTGCCTCCAGAAAGGCTGCAGTAGCTTCTCTTTGATACTCTCCAGCAGTCACAGATGAACCAGCTCCCCCCTGAGGCAACAGGATTATCCAAGAGACCACCTCAGTGTTCTGAAAAATGCAGGTGCCTGAAGAATGACTGTTTTCAGCATCCTGGATTGTGTCATCGGTGGGGTAGAAAGGCCAGTGAAGTCTACTCCATTCCCCCAAGTCCCTGTCCCCAAAGTCTTTCTCTTACTAAGTATCACCAGGCTCCAGTCTGGCAGAAATCAACAGAAGGATAGCCTTCAAAGCCTTTGCTTAAAAGCAGCTTCCCCTAACCACCCCAGCCCAGTTAGAAAGTAAGACCCGACAGTGTCCTCTTGGAGACTTGATGCCATGCTTTGGAGTAGGACAAGCCAGGGCTTGTTTGGACTGGCCATTAGGCCAGCCTAATCTCTGCATAGCTTGCAGCTGATAGGTTGGAGGTAGTCCCCTTTTCTGTCTTATCCTGAAGCAAGGGTTTGCACAACCTCCCCACAAGGGCACCCCTCCCCACATACACACCTCTCAGGGAGGCAGTGCTGGAGCTATTTTTTGTTTGCTGAGGAGATACTGTTGAAGGTTACCCTCACCCCAGGCCATTCCCCAGCCCTAGACTGGGGAGGAAGGTAGCAGGCCAAACCCGACCAATTTCTCAAAGATTTAAAAGTAGTACCAATAAAAATATCAAATGCCTGCTTGGCATATGGTCTCTTCGGGGTGGGTGGAAGTGGCCGCTAGACACCCCAAGACTGGGATGGGCCCGACTGTGGTTGCAGGGCAGCGGCCAGGAGGAATGTGGGCGCAGCCAGAGGCCTGAGGCTGGGGCCGAGGTTCCGCTGGCCCAGCGCCCAGCCCAGTTTCCTTGCTCCAGCCGGGTTTACTGGGATCCTGTTGCCAGGCTTCGGTGCCTAGCACCTGGAAGCTAGGGCCACGGGTCCCTTGAGCGTGGCGCAGGAGACCTTAAGGTGGCTTCTAAAGTGTCAAGTCTCTGTGGTGCGACCTGATAGGTACCATCACAACGCAAGGGGACCCGCTTCTGGAAGAATCTCAGCCACACTCGCAATTCCAGCGGGAAAGAGAAGCCTGGCTTAACTTTCGAAGCCAGGGCAGAGTCCGGAGTGCGAAGGCATTCTAAGGGGTTGCGGAGTGGGCGGGGCGCCGGGCGGGCTCTAGGACCTAGGGGACGCGGCTCCGCCCCCTCTTCCGGCTGGCGGGGCTGCGGACCCGGGCCGGTTTCTGCCGCCAGTCGGCGCCGCCCGCAGCCGGGAAACGCGGCCCGAGCGAGGCGCGGGCTGTGGGGCCGCCGCGTGCCCGGCCCCGCTCGCCCGTGCCCGCCGCCAGCCCGCCATGCCCGGCTTCGACTACAAGTTCCTGGAGAAGCCCAAGCGGCGGCTACTGTGCCCACTGTGCGGGAAACCCATGCGCGAGCCTGTGCAGGTGTCTACTTGCGGCCACCGCTTCTGCGACACCTGCCTGCAGGAGTTCCTCAGGTACGACCCGGGGGCGGTGGGCCTCGGCTGGCGGTGCGGGGGTGGGGGGGAGGGCAGGGCATGGGGACCGGCTCGGGCCGGAGACACGTCGCGCCTTTGTCTGCGAGCCCGCCCGGTGACCTCAGGAGCGCCCACCATGATGTCAAAGGGCGGCAGTGACGTCAGGGCCCTGGGGAGGACCTTACGCACCCAAGCGTAGGGTCTCAGGTCCTACCTGCCCGGCTCCAGGTAGGAAAACCGCCACGCGCTGGCGAAGGGAAAGACGCCCTTCCTGATCCGTGGCCGGCCCTTCCCCCCCACCTGAGAGCCCGAGTGGCCACAGTCTTGAACTTTGAATCCTTTAGGGAAGGGAAGGACAAAGCCTCCCTCTCGCGCGCGGCACTCAAGCCTCTGGAGTTTTCACCTGTCCGACCTCTTCTTTTTCTCTCTGACGTTGAGAGAGCGGCCGCTATTGTTCTCCCATTTCACAGAGCTTCAAAAAAGGGCTGCGATTTGCCCAGGGTCACACGATTCAAATCTTAGCTGGGACTCCAGCCCGTACTGCGTGTGGCCAAGCTGTAGAGGTTGGACTGTGACCTGTAGCCCTCCCTGCCTCTTAAGTAGGAACGCTCCCTTGGGGTCTTAACTACGATGGATGGTTGATGGGTGGTTGGTACACCGGCGACCCGGGTTGGTACTGAATGCTCCGTGCCCCTTCAGGAGCCAGGTCCTGCCTTGCCGCCTCAGGCATCGGTCATATTTCTGGGCACCCTGCCACTGAAGGCTGCGTGTTGGAGGGGAGATCGGGGAGCCCCAACACCCGTGGAGGTCGTGTTCTAGAGCACAAGGGAGGCTGGATCCGCCGCGGTCCTGCGAGGGGAACTGGCCGGGAAAGCAATGTGGGACTTCTGCCTCCGTGCTTGTCCCCACTGTCTTCCGAAGCTCTGGCTGGCGGAAATCTCAGCAGGCCCTTTGTTTTTTGTTCCTAGCAGCGGCGGGCTGCTGCTCTCACATATGCTCCTACTCAAGCTGCTGTGGTGCCCCCTCCTCCCTTCTCTTCTCCCTCCTCCCTCTGGCCCTCCTCCCTGCAATGTACACACTTAACTCCTCTACTGACACACGGGCCCATTGTCTTCTCAGCTCCCTTCCTGGCCCTCTGGTTTCCAGATGAGGCCAGCTGAGCCAGCCCCCTCCTCCAGCTGACCCACCCTTACTGCCTTGGGGAAGGAGCCAGGAGGGGGTCTGTCAGGCCTTGTTCCCTCCTTCACCTCCTCCTCAGTCCCCTCCCGGCTGCTTCGGCCCCTCCTCCTCCCGGAAATCCCCTCTTCCTCTCCCACTGCCCCCTCCCCCCATCCTGTCTTCTCCCCTGGGCTTGGGCCTCCACTGCTCAGCCAGGAGCAGCCTCTGCCTTCTCCCCTCCCCCATGATCCAGTTGTGTTTAGTGGCTTCTGGAGGAAAGAGGTGATTGAGCAGACTCTGCCCCGCTACTATCACCCCTACCCTACAAGTTAGGTTGTCCATAGCCTTGGCTAAACCTTTTGTCCTGGCTGGGCCCCAAGCTGCAGGGTTAGCTGCTGCCTGAAGCCTAGGGACTTGCCTTAGTCCCCTTGCTGTCTTGAAAACCACTGGGTCAGCACATTCCAGAAGCAGCCAAGTGGACCCCCTCCCCCTTGACCCACCCCTCTTTTCAGACTCCTGCTTTGGCTGGCTATTACTCAGGTTGAGCCAGGAAGGCTATTTGCCCTATGGGTGCAGTCATACACCTCTTTAGTGCCTAGCATGTGTTGTTCTTTGCATCAGGGACATGGCCCGTAGTGTGGGACCAAGGGGAGATGCTAGGATGGACTGCGCACCTGGGCTATGGACTGCCCAGGCTCTGGAAAGTGCTTTTACAACAGGGCTGCCCTGTAGTTTCTGCTTCCGCCTTGAGGCCTGCCTGCCTGCCTGCCTGCCTGCCGCCTACCTGACTCAGATCTGCCAGGAATGCCATGCCTGGGGGCTTTCAGTCTTGCTGGGTGAGCCCTTGCCTTGCCTGGGCCATGGCAGTCACGTGTGACAGGTCTTGTTGGGGTCAGTTGGGGCATACTGGCAGGAAGAAGCATGCCACCAAGCTCTATGGGTGGAGATGGGAGAAGAGGGGTAGGACAGCTGTCAGGTGTTAGGGTCACCAAGTTTCAGGAGCTTTGCCTGTGGTTAAAACCTGAGTTACCACAGACAGACATACCCAGGTGCTGTTTCACTAGGGAGCCTCTGATTGGATTTTTGGTTTTTTTCCCCCTCTCCATCTTCTGAATAGGGCCATTCTAACCCTTCTGAGAGGCCAGTGGTGAAGGCCAGCTGGGGGTGTGAGGAATGAATGGATGGAGGGAACACAGGCCAGGGGCCTTGCTATTCCTTCCCACTCCTTTAGGAGACACACCCTCAAAGAGGAGAAGGGGTAGCATAAAGTGGACTCAAGATGACCTTAGCCTTGGTTCTAGGCCTGGCACCTCCATGGAGGCTGGGTAGCCTTGGCACTTAATCCAAGCTCATCCCTGTATATCCTCCCATTAGCTTTCAGAATAGCCAATGAAAGCCATTCTGGGGGTAGGGGGTGGCAGGCTGCCTGTTTCTTTTCAAGTCCAGCTGCTGTCTTGGGGGAAGGGGATGCCAGCTGCCACCTGTTGGCGAAGTGTTGCCCAAGGCAGCTGTGTCTGTCTGCACTGGATCTAGAATACCATTTGTGAGTAGTTGACTACAACTACTGAAAAGGGGTCCCTTCTGACTTCTGCTTGTCTCTTTGTCTCAGCAATGGCAGGCTAGGAAGGGGCCTGGCAAGGGAGGGAGGCTACTCTGATTGAGGGGGTGAGGCCCAGGGCTTGAGGAGCCTTGACCCTGCCTTCTTCCCTTTCAGTGAAGGAGTCTTCAAATGCCCTGAGGACCAGCTTCCTCTGGACTATGCCAAGGTGAGTCCATACTGCTATGTTGGAAGTCCAGGTACATCGTATATGGGCTGTTGTCCTTGCTGGGGGCTGGAGCTCTTGGTAGCCAGTAGGCACGGGGCCAGTGTCAACCCCAAGCCTCATGATCTCGTGCCCCCACAAAGGTAGCCTGTTCTTTCCCACCAGGCCAGTTTGCAAACGAAGGCTGTGTTTGCCCTGGGGGGCAGGCACAATGCCCAGCCTGTATGGGTGCACAGAGCTGCTCTGTGCCCATAAAAAGTGCTCCCTCCTCTTCCTGTGGCTGGGGGCCAGGACCCCTCCACTAAGAGGAAGGAAGCAGGAGGGGGGTTACCTTACAACTGAGCAGGCTAATGGCTGCTTCCCTGAAGGGAGCGGGTTCTTGTGCAGCCATGTTGGGGGCTCTGCTCCCACAGAGTAGAATAGATACAGAGTAGATACTGTCTACTATGTCCTTCATACTAGGGCACAGGGACATAGTCTGAGAGGTCTTAGCTCAAGAAGCTACTATTGGCTTACAGGCACAGCCAGCTCAGTTGAGAGTTGGGGTGGGTAGCAACTACAGCAGGCTCTGGTCCTGGCTGACTCCACCGTTCTCTGCCCATAGATTTACCCGGACCCAGAGCTGGAGGTCCAGGTGTTAGGCTTGGCTATCCGCTGCATCCACAGTGAGGAGGGCTGTCGCTGGAGCGGGCCACTTCGTCATCTACAGGTGAGGCTCGGGTGGGGAACTAGGACTAACCCTCACTGGGCAGATACCGATTGTCATCTGTCCACCAGGGCCACTTGAACACCTGCAGTTTCAATGTAGTCCCCTGCCCGAATCGCTGCCCGGCCAAGCTGAGTCGGCGTGACCTGCCCGCTCACCTGCAGCACGACTGCCCCAAGCGCCGCCTCAAGTGTGAATTTTGCGGCTGTGACTTCAGTGGGGAGGCCTACGAGGTAGATGGGGCCAGACTGACAGTGGAGGGAGGGCGAGACACTTGGGGGAGTCCTGGCATCCCATCTTCTAACTTACCTCTGTGGTGATTTCAGAGTCACGAGGGCGTGTGCCCCCAAGAGAGTGTGTACTGTGAGAACAAGTGTGGGGCCCGCATGATGCGGCGACTGTTGGCCCAGCACGCCACCTCCGAGTGCCCCAAGCGCACCCAGCCCTGTGCCTACTGTACCAAGGAGTTTGTCTATGACACCATCCAGGTGAGGCCCTTGCTCACCTGTAGCCTGTGAGGCTGGGTATCAGGGAGTCAGGGTTCTGACCACTCTACTTCTGTCTCTGGTCCTAGAG